TGTTTTTTCGCAGCTTCCATAATGTATTTATATTATTTATTCAAAGGAAAGACGCAGTAATGTGAAATAGGAATTTTATTTTAATATAACTAATTCATATTGAAATTGACCTAAATAGCACAAAAGTAAATATTCAAAAAATGTCTCTGACTAAAGTAGACACTGCCGCCTGTTTACTTCTGTTGATTTAAACGAAGAATATTTTTCAAAATTAATCTTCCGGGACAAAAGTAATTATTTATAACGATAAAAATGCACAAACAGTGGAAACCTTACATAAAAAAAACTGAGTAAGTAAACGTCATAATAGGTAATAAAAGGTGAAAAGTTAGTGCTTGTATCATACAGAGAATAAAAGCACATTATTTTCAAAACTACTGCTTTATAACTTTGATAAATTGATTTACTGCCTGTATGCTTAGGATTGATATGCTATATTTGACAAACTGAAAAAATAAATATTTTTGTTTAATAACATCTTCATGAGATATTTTGTAATTTTAATTACAAAAGCGAAGTATTGGCGTCAAAATTCAAAAAAGCAGTAGGTCAGGCAGTAAGAATATTTCTGGACTTGTGGTGATTGTACCCTATTAAAAACAGTAAAAAGTTGCAAACGTTTCAAATGCTCTTTCTAGCAATGTCTAGATAAATAATTTTTTTTTTTTTTATATCGAAACAGCCGCGCAGGTAGAAGCCTAAATGCCGGAACACCGCGGCTGCTATGATGATCCCAAAGAACTTTTGTTAATACGATTTTTGAACTGCCTAAGGTTAGTAGAACTGGGAAAAGCTTCCTCCCGTAGATTGTTCCACAATCTAGACACCCTCGGGACAAAGGAACGGTCGTATCGGCCAGTTCTGGATGTACGAAGTTTGACACGGTTAGGATGGGACGCCGAAGTCAGGCGGGTCTGTCTGGCAGGCACATCGCGCGGCGGCATCATGGAAGAGAGCTCTGAGGAGCAAAGCCCGTTGGTGTAGCGATAGAAAAGAGCTAGATCGCCGACGACCCGCCGGTGCGAAAGAGTCCCGAGACTGTCTGTTAGAGAAGAGTCATCGATCAGTCGGACCGCCCTCATCTGGACAGCATCGAGCATGGACAATGTAGTCGGGGCGGCAGCACCCCAAATGTGTGAGCAATACTCGAGGCTAGGCCTTATCTGGGCCTTGTATAGAATGGGAAGATCGTTCGGAGAAAAGTACTTCTTAGCCCTAAACAAATAGCCTAGCTTTTTCCCAGCAGCTGCAGCTACTGAAGAGATGTGTTCGTGCCAGATCAGGTCCTCGGTGATCTGGACTCCGACCAGCCGAAATGAATGGCTCTTTGGTAGAACTCGACCGTCCATCGAAACTGTATGAGCGCTAGGACACTTTTTGTTCGTCAAAGTACTGTACTGTGTTTTGGAAGCATTGAACTGTACAAGATTTTTGCGTCCCCAAGCAGTGATAGCCTCCAGGTCTCTTGTCAGAGAAGAAGCCGTCGCTAGTCTTCTTTTTTCCAGCTCAGCGGCAGAGATCGGCTTGTCACTCTGAATTCCTGCATGTAGAGTGCTGTCATCAGCGAAGCTGTGGATTGGGTTGATCGTGCAGGAAAGGAGGTCGTTGATATGTAAGAGAAACAGTGTTGGAGCCAAGACTGATCCCTGGGGAACACCCGCGTTGACGCTGTGGGATGAAGAGGAGAATCCGTCAATTACGACGGATATCTTGCGGCCAGAGATAAAGTCAGCCACCCATCTGCAAAGCTTTTCTGGGAGGCCGTAGGATGGAAGTTTGCTTAAGAGGGCAGCGTGCCACAGCTGATCGAACGCTTTCGTGATGTCAAGAGCAACGACATGAGCCTCACCATGAGACTGGATGAGTTTACTCTACAGTTGCGTGACGTAAGCTAGGAGGTCCCCTGTGGATCGTTGGTGCCGGAAACCGTACTGCCTGTCGCTAATCAAGCTGTGACGTTCGAGGTAGTCCAGAAGCTCGCGATTTATGCACCTCTCCATCACTTTACTTATAACAGAAAGCAGAGCTATAGGCCTGTAGTTATAAGGGTCGGTCTTAGATCCTTTTTTTGGGATGGGCTGTACATGAGCAAATTTCCAGTTTTCTGGGAAGGTGCCGGATTCATAAGATGTCTGGAAGAGACGCGAAAAAACTGGAGCAAGCTCCGCTGCACATCTCTTCAGTATAATGGCAGGAATCAAGTCCGGACCAGAAGCTTTGTTGATGTCGAGCGACAAGAGCACTCGTCTTATGGTCTTATGCCTGAATGTTACCTCCCGCATAGTGTGGGGAACCCTTTGAATTGACGGCATTTGGGCGTTGGTGGGGACGTCCATGGTGGAGTTGGCAGCAAAGATCTTGGCTAGCACTTCCTTTGAGTCGAATACAATAGTTCCATCCTGACACGTAAGTGGTGGAAGGCTACTGTGTGAGAAGTTCTTTTCAATCTGCTTGGCCAGCGTCCAGAAAGACCGACTGCCATTGCGCTGCGACATTACGCTGTGCCTAACTTTTATATAATGCTGGTTTTTGGCATTGCGAACCGCTTCATTATATCTGTTTCTGGACTCGACGTCGGCTTGTCTGTTCTCTACAGTGGGGTTTTGTAAGTAGGTTCTGTGGGCCTTGATCTTCTGCTGGCGAGCAGTGTCACACGATTTGTTGAACCAGCCGTTGGACCCCGGTTTAGGAACTTTCACTGTGTGAGGGATGTATTCCTCCATTCCGACGTGGATAATTTCGGTTATTGAAGAACAGACAGTCGACGCATCCGCGTCAGTGAAACAGACATCTCTCCAAGGAAAGCTAGAGAAGAAGTCTCTGAGCACCTCCCAGTCGGCATGTCCGTAATGCCAAGTTTTGCGGCCTGTGCGAGTTTCTGCTGCCACAGCGGCTTCTGACCGAAACCTAACCTCCACAACACCGTGATCTGAGTTACCCAGGGGGGACAATGAGGTTTTAAAAGTTGAACATTAATTCTGATAGCAGCACTGCTAGCTGATCATCCATGAGCCTACGTTAATCTGCATTGCCTAATTTATTTGGCATTGCTGGGACATGGATGGTCATTTGGGACACGTAAAACAAAGTTCAAGTATTAAAAAACTACAGAAAATGATATTCGACTCGCAAAAGCGGCATTTTCGTACAATTTCTATAGCTTAATTAACATAAACCTGTAAAATGACGGCTATGCTTCCCACGAAAGTATGCCATCAATTAGACTATGTTCGATTTATTTGCAGACCTGACGTCATATCAACTAGGGTTCAAAAGAAACAATGGTACCTATGTGAAACCTAGAGTTGACCCACTTGACACCAAGTTCATTCAAAAGGCTGCTACGTTAAAGTAGGACACAAATCCAAAAGCGTTGTGTTAAATATTCTTAACAGCCGTGGTAAAATATACGCCGTACGCCTATGGCCTGCATGTACCTTTGCCGCAAACGCCAGTCATTTTAGTTGTGTCTACGTGTGGAAGAGATGACACAGCATCGGGAGTGGAACTCGAAGCATGTAACCGTATATTGGCGTGACTAGAACTTATCAGCATTGTACTTTGTCTTATAGTATTACCGAGATCAAAAATTTTTTGATGATGATGACGGTTGTCAGCAGAGATACAACATTTAAGGCACCCTAAAACCTCCAACCTCGTATTTTCAACCACTACAAAGTATTTTCTAAAAATGATCAGGAACATCAGAAACGTAAAATCGTAGTTTGTTTTTCGATCACAGCTCCACCGTCACTGGACCAACTTTCAAAAAGCACAAAATTGGCCCGGTAATTATTTTTAAGCCATAGTAAGGCCAACAATTAGCGGCCAGACCGTCAAACCTACAGGATGACAGAAATGATTGACATGGCTTTTCGTGATGTGTAACCCATGGAACATACAAAAAACATAACATCTGATTGTCGATTACAATACTTCCTCACCAATTGGCGAAGGAACAACAACTGTCAGCCTTCAATCAGTTATCGTGAATGGTAACCTGCGATTGGAAGCTGTGTTAGATCAGCAGATCTAAAACTTCTTGTTTTCTAAATAATCAATAGCTATAATATTTTATACAGTTGGTGCCTAAAAACCCGACTTAGCAACCGAAACATTAGCAAGCTTAATATAACGTCTGAAACTTATTCCTTACTTTCATGCTGAAAGATCTTCATCTCCGTCTCGCCACATGGCAGCCAGAAAAACGTAAAGAATTATTAGCAAGCTTTCTTCTCCATCAGGTGCAATTCTGGTTATTGGCTACAATTAATGAATGGATTAATGGATGGCCAAAGATCCGCTAGGCTTTGTGGTGAAACAGAGATTAAGATACGATACATAATTATTGATGACCAATAAACTAAAGTTCATTAGTTCACGCTGTGATACTCCTGTAAAAAACCTGATCAAGATGAAATTAAAGATCAAAAATAGAGGAATTTGTAAACAGCCTACATCACAGTGGTTCTTCTGGACATCAAAAATAATTGCATCTAATAAAAATCACAGTAGGCAACGAGCTTGTCAATCAAACGGCTGTCATTCATGGTAGCCATTAACCTCTTAAGGTCCACATTTAAATAACGCTTGAGAAAAAAGGTTTTCTTCAAAAAAGATATTAGAATAGGTATAAAAAACACATTTTATTGGAAAACTACTTTATTTTTTCGTTAGCAAAAAAATAAGTCAACGTTCCGGTTTTGGAACAAAGGTCAATCATCTTAAATATGAAATTCACCAAAACAGTGCCTTTTCTTATTTATACATAAGTATACATTATATTTGATGCAGGAAAAAAATGTTTTCAGTCCGCAACCTGGCTTTTTGCATCTCTGTCTTTGTTATTTTTCACAAGGGAAGTGACCTATTTGGTCAGTTCGCACGTCAAACTGCGGTATGGGCTTTGTTTGGTTCTTTTTCTTTTTTTCTTCAAAATTTCTTTCAATACTTCTACTTGGTCTTCCTCGTTTTCGTGTATTTTCACTCTTCCCAAAAAGTCATAATCCCTCAGCAAATTCAGCGCGAAAACCAAGGGAATCTAATATATGTTTTTTCCCCAACCCTGCTATCTGCATATCAGCTTTGTAGCGAATCCAGGCAGTAACTATAACCAAGTCAATGAAGTGAAAAAATATTTTCAAGTACCATTTTCTACTTCTTAGTGTTATCCTATAATGAGATATAAGCCCATCTAGCAAATCTACTCCACCCATAAAAAGATTATATTCTTTTACCATATTTGGACGTTGGATATTTATTTTTGTTTTTCTGACAAAACGTTCAACTTTGTCAATAGGATGTGATCTGTAAAAAGTGCTCGCCAGACAGAACCTTTTATTATCAAACCATTTCAGCGCAAATATTTGTACATCTTCTATGGTAGCTTCATACTCCTCGTAAGTGCCTCGGCCTTTTTTTTCATAATATTATCGCTTGAAAACGTAAGGCCATGAATTCTATCTTTCCTTACAGTTCCCAAACTGTAGATTCCATCTTTGTCTAGTGTAGTTAGAAGCTTCAGAGAAGTAAACCAATTATCAAAAAACAAAAAATGATTTTTGTGCTTGGGAATAACTGCTGCTAGTCGTAGGACTATGTCTCCACTTGCCCCTATGTCGTCTTTCCCAGGTACTGGTAGTATTTTTCCGGTGTAAACCTCAAAATTGTGGATAAGGCCATCTTTGTCGCATGCAATAAAAATTTTATACTCCCATTTATTGTTTTTTTTGGGATTATATTGCTTTAGGGAAGAGTGTCATTTGAATGGAACTATTTGTTCATCCACGCAGAGTTTTTCAGATTTTACTTGATTTGCGAATTTTTGCTGTAAATTATCCAGGAAGGGTCTAAGTTTGAACAGCTTGTCTCTATTGACATCATTTCGATCTTTTGGTAGGTTCTCATTATTATTGAAATGAAGGTTTTTCTTTATTTGTTCCCACCGCTTTCTGGACATGGAGTCGGCCCCCTGTGAAACTCTGGTGGCAGAACTCCAATAAAGTCTATGTCTCGGTAAACCAAAAATCGACATATAAACAACAGTTCCTAAGAAGACTTCTAATTCAGATCGAGCAAGGTTGAGCGGTCTATTCGGGTCAACTTGGCAAGCGTTTGTTCTACAATTTGATCTAATAGCTCATCTGAGAAAAATAACTGGAAATAATGTATGGGTCTTCCTATTTCAGGCTCGTCGTCTAGGTTTTGTGACGTAAATGGCGCCAAAGAAACACTCACTTTGCCTTCCCTAACTTTATTCCACTGATAATTTGGTGTCCCCTTTGCAAAAAAATTGCTCAGTGGTTGGTCATCTTCTGAATCGTCTTCACTGTCACTACCTGTAGAGTTATCTGAGCCTGGCTTGGACGGCACATATTCATCGTCATGGCAGATTCTCATCTTCACTATCGCTTGGCAAAGAAGCCATAGTTTACTGAAACAAAATAATAATGCACTGTGAAGGACTAACTTGCCCAGTGTTCCATATTTATATACTAAGGCCCGTATCGTCAGTCGTCCCTACAATTGTAGGGCGCCTTTATGGCCTCCTTGATTGTCATAGTTTTCTACTTCTCCGTGTCAGAACTCTATTTTGAGGTTATGTCACAAACATCTATTTGCATCAAATTGTTCTTGCTTTTGAGTTATATCATGTTTTATCAGCCTGAAATTTCCTACAATTTAAAAAGAAAACATATCTTCACAATAGGAGAGCGCTGACGCTGACAAGGGACAAGTGTAATCTAGAAATTTTTGAAGGAGAGAAAGGAGTATGACAATCAAGGAGGCCATAAACGCACCCTACAATTGTAGGGACGACTGACGATACGGGCCTAAATATCCATTGTTCCTGATCTGGAACTATGAAAATATTTACGTTATCGGCTCTTCTAATAAGAGTTTTTGTATTCAATTTATTTTAAAAATATACTACAATAATCTACTGACTCACCTGTATTTATTTTACGCTATAAAATAATCAAAAAACACAAGAAAAGCCTTTCAGAAAACGATGCACCTAACCAACAACAACGAATGATGACATTCTGCCAATATCTCGGCGTCGGGTTCATAGATGGCGTAAAACGTCACCTTTATTACACAATATTCATTGGTACACATAAGGAACAGTGGACTATTGGTGAAAGTTGAATCATTTTGACAAGATTTTTTCATTTTGAATTTTTGAAATCAGTGTTCCAGTTTAGGAACATGAGCCGTTAAGAGGTTAAGTGTTTAGTGTCCGATGGGGACGAAAGAAAAAATGCCACTCACAACGGGGGCAGGGCCTTCTAGATGAAGACTTCAGGATAATTAATTAGGATATTAGAAGTGGACTTTCAGGGATAACCAACTACATGATATGTTTCTGTTAATGATTGTAATTTTTCCTTGGGCTTAGGACTCAGTGCAGTGTTATAGGGCCCCACAACAGGGATTTTTTTTGAAATCATAATGCTTAGAATGACAAAGTATATACAAAAATAGGAAATATGCTGAAAGAATCAGACGGTCTTTCCATACTGAAAATTCCGCAAGAAAGTCATCGAGTTAAACATTGACTAGTTCACAAAGTATTTAATTCATGTATTTTGCGTGTGTTTGATGCAGACTTTCTTATCCCTACTGCTCCTAACACAACCTCCCAAAAAACTTGTTGGAGCTGTAGAGGAAACCAAGTCAGCCTACTTGTTGTCTTTCCGTTTTTGCACATATGGGAAACGTTTCTTCCTAATGCCTGCTTGCAACCGAACTGTGAAATGGCCCGTGAAACCTCTAAGAAGTAAAAACGTTTGCAGAGCCAACAGATAAAATCTTGAGGTGCTTTTTGTTGGACATGGAATTACCGTTATTAGCCAAGCACGCTAGCCATGTAACTGACGAACGGCGCTCTGATTGGTTTTTAAATTGATGGCAGCTCCCTACCTGTAACGAGTCCAGGGCGTGGTGGCGACATCATTTACACTGGCCTACGGTGGACGGCCAAGCCGTTCGACGTTCAGTTTCAAGCAGGATTGCCAGACTGGTTCCTGTATTTTTTATTCTGTGAAACTTTTAGACAATGTAGCTATTTCAATTATTCTATGGATGATCCAGCAAGATCTTATACCAGTTAATACAGTAAAAAAGGCTGGGAGCAGCAAAAAAGGTGTGTAATCCTATACACTACGGGCCGAAGTCGTTTTCCCTTGTAGATTTCCATGTGTAAAAGCGTGTTAGAAAGAGTGCGCCATATAAGCGTCGTCACCGCGTTGCCTGCCAACTATAGTGGGAGAGGAGCTACAACTGCCCTCCGTGGCCTTCTCCACTGTGGTTGCCAGGCAACGTGGTAGCGACGCACTCTTTCTTACATGCTTCTATCTTTCGTTCACATGGAAATCTAAGAGGGAAAACGATTTTGGTCAGCATATAGATAAGTGTGCGTCTGTCGTGACGTGAGTATCAAAATACTCGTTTTTATTGTGGATGTAAATGCTCTAGACATCGTCGCAAAACACTTGGTCCAGTGGTCTTATGCTTTGCTGTACCACCATTATTTCTGTAGAGATACCCTGTCAAGACAAAAATATTTTATTTTTTGATGAGACAGTAGTTTTCCGGACCTGGGGGTCAGCTTGTTAGCCGAGGTCGAAAAAGTAACTGTATCGTTCGCTATATTTAAATTAACATTCATAATTACAGAAGAAGATTAAGGCCCGTATCATCAGTCGTCCCTACAATTGTAGGGCGCCTTTATGGCCTCCTTGATTGTCATAGTTTTCTACTTCTCCGTGTCAGCGCTCTATTTTGAGGTTATGTCACAAACATCTATTTGCATCAAATTGTGCTTGCTTTTGAGTTATATCATGTTTTATCAGCCTGAAATTTCCTACAATGTAAAAAGAAAACATATCTTCACAATAGGAGAGCGCTGACGCGGACACGGGACAAGTGTAATCTAGAAATTTTTGAAGGAGAGAAAGGAGTATGACAATCAAGGATGCCATAAACGCGCCCTACAATTGTAGGGACGACTGACGATACAGGCCTTAATCAAAATTTAGTATGCATTCCACAAGCGTCAAAACCATTACTCAACGATCTCCTTTCTTTCTTGGGACCAAAATTCTATACCTTCATACCAGAGTCATTAAAACCAGTAAAATCAAATAGATCATCTTACCACAACTAAGGTGACCCAACCAGAAAATTCTAGACATGAAAGATCAATGCTGCCAGGGTCAACAGTATTTTACCTATCACCAGCTCTCCTACTAATAATACTTTTACTTAATTCTTTACTTTGGTTACAATTGTCTGAATATCTCCCTGACGAAGCATGCTCTGACGACTGAATGAACATTTATGCTGTTTAAATTCGGTATCCGGGTGGCCCAGCACATTATAAGTTATAATATAAATATAATAATAGGTATAAGTTTCATTCAAATAAAATAATTCTTACTGGGAGCTCTATTTTCTTTGACACAGAGTATATAAACAAGTAAATAGCGTGCGTGGGAATCCTACTTAGTTTGGTTCCTTCTAAGCTAATTGCAAAAGACTGCCAATTGTGTTTGGGAATCGTGACATAAGCTGAATTTTACAATAACATCAGGTAATAAATTATTGCTTACATAATCACTATCCAGACCCCCACGCATCCATGTCGTTGAAAATAGGCCAACCAAACACCCCTCGCCTCTTTTTCATGCGAAGTTATGTAATACTGGAACGGTGAAGATTTTAGCACTTATTAAAGCTAAGACCAATAAAACTACTGAAATCTGTAAAAGTGGCAACCCTGGTGATGTGGCCATTGAAAATGCTTTCTGTTGGATTTCTTCGTCGTAATCGCCTCTCGATACCCAGACCACGGCCCGGTGCTGGCGGCCATTAGAACCGTTAGTGCTGGGGTTTTATTGGAGTTTTCGCGCGAGGGATGATGTGACAGTGATTGATGGAAGTTTTTCTAACATTCAAGAGTATAGAGTCGGGATATTTTACTCTCCGGTCTTAGGGGTGGGAAGAACCTAGCATGACTGCAAATATTGACATTTGCTGTTATATTTTTTGAATTTTTTAGGACATTAACGTCACGTGACATGATATGAAATTTGTTATCAAATTAGATGTCGGAGATGTATACGCAACTCGTAACCTGGCAAAGGTGAGGTTATGGCAAATACGAACGAAGGTGGTTGCATCTAAACTAGGTATGACTAGCTAAGCGATCGGCAACCCAGTATGCCAGCACTTGTCAGTTGCGGATGTTTGAAGGCTATGACCCTCATATCATCGTCGATTTTGCCATGTTGCCACTTGTCATATACAATATTTGAGTCTCATAGCGGCAGTTAATGGTTATTTGCCAATCCTTTAAGAATGAATGAACCTGCTTAAGTAGTCTGAAGTTTTTCTCGAGAGCTGTATGTGATTTGATTACCAAACAGGACGCACGCCCACTGAGGCGAAGCGACGCCAAGGAGACCGCGGCGACATTTGTCATTTACACGAGTCAAACTAACATGCCACTTCGCGTCGCTCCAATGTGCGTACTTTCGTTTGATTGTATGGAAGAGTTTCGCTTCTCTTCGTTTCCATTCTTTTCAATTGGCGTGCACCTTCTCCTACCTCCTAACATTTTTGATATTCTCTATACGAATCAACAAACGGAACATATAACTGTTAACTATCATGTAACATGCACGGAATACTTTTCCATTGATGTGATTTTTTGCTCCTAATATCGTAATTAGTCGAAACGTTCAACCGAATATATCAAAAATACCTCCATTCTGTAAATACAAGCTGAATGGAAATGTTCCATTATTTAACCTAATGAAGAGATTGCGTGAGTTGGACGTTTTGTATATAGTGTGTAGCAACGACTAATGGAGAAACAGAGCAAAGCACTGCTCTCTAAGGAATATGAGGAAAATTTGATTTTAAGCGGTGTAGAGCGTAACTTACTTCGTAAAAGAAAATGGGTAGGTAAACTTAGAAACTAGTTATAGTCAGAGTTAAAAATGGCCAAGGTTCGCAATTTTGATA